TCTGCCCCCGAACGGCCTCGAGTTTGCCGGTCCTCTCAGTCCTACTGCTGATACCACCCCGGTTGACGAAGAGTCATTGAAGATCAACGGTTCTGAGAAGAACGGCGATGACGCTGACACGAACTCATTGGCAGCCCACGCCGGTACGGTAGAGGAAGACGACCTCAAGACCCCGACAGCAGCAGCTCCACCCCAAGCCCAAGCGCCGTTGGAGGAGTTCAAGCCCTCATCAAATCTACAGCAACAGCCCGTGGTCGTTACAGCCGCCCGCCGGCGCTACTTCAACCGCATCATCTCGCGATGCGTTCTGCAGCTGCTAATGATCGAGACGGTGAACGAGCTCTTCAGCAACGACACCGTCTACTCCCAGATCCCCACAGCGGAACTCCTCAAGCTCATGGGACTGCTTAAGAAGTCATACCTGTTCGCCAGGAAGTTCAACGCCGACAAGGAGCTGCGGATGCGCCTTTGGCGCGAGGGTTTCATGAAGCAGGCCCCGAATTTGCTCAAGCAGGAGAGCGGTGCCGCCGCTACTTACGTCGCCATCCTCTTCCGCATGTATGCAGATGACAGCGACGAGCGCGCTTCGGCGCGCGATGCGATCGAGCAGGCCCTGATTCCCCTGTGCAAGAGCATCATCAAGGACTTTGTCGCGCTCGAGGAGGACAGCCAGCACCGCAACATCGTCGCCTGGCGCCCCGTCGTTGTCGATGTTCTCGAGGGTTACGCCGCCTTCCCTGTCACCTCGTTTTCGAAGAACATTAAGGAGTTCTACCCGATGGTCGTGGAGCTCCTCGGCAAGGACCTAACGTCCGACCTGCGGACAGCGCTGCTGCTGGTGCTCCGCCGCGTCGGCGAGGTCGGTTTGGGTATTGAGGGGATGACCAAGGTGGACGTGGACCGCAGGGACAGCATCCTAAGCCACGCAACGGACGTAGACGGGCCCGAGGGAGACGCGTCGGCCAGGATGAGGCGTTGAGTTGGAGGTCCAGCATACAAAAACCAGGTGTAGCACAGGAAGAGGCGTAATGGATAGATTGAGGGGGAATCATTTCATGTAAAATTATTGTACTCGGCTCGGATTGCCGAGGCCTTTCGCAGTTCGTGTCCATATTGAAGACATCCATCCATGCTTGTCCCAGACCAGTGCCATGCTTCCCAAACGCCATGCCATTTTTGTACAGTTACGCTGCTCAGCCGCGTGCAGACATGATATCCCGAATGAACGTCCTCAACTGCTCCGACTCCTCGGGCACAGTCCGATCCGGCAGACTCCTCAACGCCTCCTTCAGCATTTGATCGTCCTTGCTCGCCTCCCTTACTAGATCCCGCAGGATCCCCATCGTCCGGTGCGACTGCTCCGCCACCCTCATGACACTCACCAGCGTCTCGAAGAAGTCAATCAGGCTCAGGTGCATCAGCGTATCCTCCATATCAACCATCTTCAGCGCCGCAAGCTGCAGCAGGCCCACGTCGTTGGACCCTGTCAGCTCGGGGAACTGCGACGTGCCGACCTCGACGATGTTCAGGCTCGCGAGGCGCGGGAGGACGCGCAGGATGCGGCCCTGGGCAAGGGACAGCTGGTGCTCGGACAATTTCGCGTCTTCGGCGGGATCTTCGCCGCGGGCGAGGGCGAGGACGAGGCCGAAGGGCTCGCGGTCGTGGAAGAGGCGGCGCCACATCCTTCCCTGGCCCGGCGCGCGTCGGCGGACGAGGTCGGTGCCGGTGAGGCTCGGGAGGGCGGCGGGCGGGGGCAGTTCGCAGTCTGTCTCGAGGAGGTCGCCGATGACGCGGGAGGCCTTCTCGCCGACCTCGACCTGTGGGGAGGAGAGCCAGCGGCGGAGGAGCTCGAGGACGACTTTGGGCATGAGGGAGAGGATGGCGGCGTCGGAGGGGGTTGCGGCGGCCTTTTCGAGGATGGCGAGGGCGAGGAGGTTGGCGGAGGGGGCGGGGGAGCGCAGGGCGGAGATGAGGGAGGATTCGTCGGCGAGCTGGAGGGTTTGGGTGAAGGGGACGGGGGAGAGGAGTTTTATTGTGAGGGAGACGATGGGGGCGGGGTCGTGGGGGGTTGTTTTGAGGATTGTTGTGAGTTTTGGGAGGAGGTTTGGGAGGAGGGGCGGGATGTTTGATTCTGTGGCGTTGTTAGCATTTGGAAGAGAGGTCAGAAGGGAGAGGGGGAGGTAGAAAGGCTGACCTGTGAGTTGGAGCTCAATGTCGTCGAGGATCTTCGGTTGGAGGGGCGTTTCGGGGGAGGCGACGAGGTCGTCGAGGTGGGCTGTGAGCTCGTCGAGCCCGGTTATGGGGATTGTGTCGGTTGTCATCTTGGGGACGACGGAGTCTGACATAGGAATTTCTGGTGACGGTGGTGCGGCTAGGTCGAGGTAAGGAGCAGAAACGAAGTTGGTGATGTCTGCAAGTTGGAGGAGCTGTTGGAGGTTTACGGATGGCGGGGGGAGCTGGAAGCTTCCTGCTCGGTTTAAGGGTCCCCGGACGCTAAGATAAGATAAGGCAGCCGCAAGCTGCGTGTGCTGGGTGCGTAGCGCTTGGGTGCCTTACAGGGGTCCAGGCGGTAGCGGGGCAGCTGCGTTCAGCGGGAAGGGTGACGACCCCGCTGCGTGCCTACTGGTCCAGCTGTAAGTGACGATCATGGCTTTTTGCACAAGTTGCTAGTCTTGAGTCAACTAACAATGTGACATAGTTGTGTTCTGGGATGAGAGGCCTCTACAGGTAAGGCAAGGTAAGGTAAGCTATGCCAGAGACAGACGCATGCCGACTGTCACGGCTGTGTGGTTGAGATCGTCCAAACAAGAATCGGAATGTGGCAGAATCAACTTCGTAAGGCACAGTTGAATTCGTTTTAACGCATCTCAGGTCTTTACGGCGTCGCCCTTATCCAGCTTTTCCATTGCCTGAGCTGGATCCCACGACACCAACGTGGTTCATTGAGCAGGCGTGATGGAGGCTTTCGTCACGTTGAGCAGATGGTTGGTTCTAACAGCAGCCTGTTTACGATTCTACATGTACTATAGAATGATGAAACCCTTTTATTGTTAACAAAGATTGAATGTGTTTTCCAGTCATTCTATCTTAAAGCTACTTACACAGATTGTTGTCTGCGGAGAACAGACACGGGGGAGCTACACCAGCCACCTCAACGAATCACAAGCCACCATTACCCCAATTGACCCCGCTAAAAAATCAAGACGTCCAACTCCAGGTCGGCGCCAACCATGACTGCATCTCCGACTTTGACTCTTTTTCGTTCGACTCATATAACGATCTTGCGGCATTACGCCAAACGACTCTCTGCAACTTCCTCCATATTTTATCGTAGTCAGAACACTTTCCCGCGATCTTACAAGCAAAAACGGTACGTCAATCCCATAACTGCACAGGCTGCAAACCTTCAGCCGCGGCACGCGAGCGAAGCGAGGCCAAACCGCCAACCACCTTGGCGCAATCCCAGCAGCCACCTCTACAGCACACAATCGCTAACAACCGCCCACACAGAACCCTCAAGAAAACACACATACGACACGACCGAGCACCATGTCGCGCGGAGGACGAGGCGGAGGACGAGGCGGCCGCGGCGGCAAGACGGGACCCCAACTCTCCTGGGACAACGGCGAACACGCACCCGACACCCGCCCCTCGGAGCTCTTTCCCGTACGTCTCCTCCTCCCTCACCCGTAAACCCCAGCCAACTAACATTCTTAACACAGCAATACGCCGTTCCGACAGCGAAGCCCCTCTCCGCCCTCGAACAAGCCAACGTCAACGCCTTCCTCCTCTTCCGCCGCCAGGTCCAGGACGGGCCGCTCTACACCCGCAAGCGCACCTGGGGCATGGACCCGTCCAACACGCGCAAGCTCTACGGGCAGGACCAGGTGAACGCAAAGTACGGCGTGCGCACGCGCGCGACGGCGGACCCCTTCACGGGCGTGCCGACGTACTCGCAAAAGTTCGCCCGCCCGGAGCGCGCGCTGCCCGAGTTCGGCTCGCGGCCGTTCTGCAAGGAGTTCTTCCCCGCGGAGCTGCACGCGACGCTCGACGGCGACGACGTCGCGCCCGGCGAGAAGCGCCGCGGCGGCGAGGCGAAGCGGCTGCGGCTGTCGCGCATCACGGCGCTGCCGACGGCTGAGGACGTGTTCCAGGTCGAGGAGCCCGCGGCGGGGCCGGACGGCGCGAAGAAGACGCTCGAGGCGCTGGAGAGGATGCCGGATGCTGAGGGCGCGGAGGGCGAGGAGGAGTGGGAGGAGGGCGGCGAGGAGGAGGAGCAGGATGTGGAGTACGACGACGAGGATGCGGGCGACTACGACGCGGAGAATTACTTTGACGACGGGGAGTTTGGGGACGACGATGGTGGGGATGATGACCATGGTGGCCGCGAAGGGTCGTATTGATCGTGGCGAGGAAGCGACGGCGTCATTTTTTGAAGGAACGGAGGGGGTAGCGAAGGCGGAAGGATCTGCAGAGACTTTGCCTACCTCACGAGGAATGAGGATTAGCATATCAGGCGTTGGGCGGATGAACGGCTTTGCTGAGCGGAACAGCTCCCAGATACCCATCATATACAACAGACACAAGAGCATTGAATTTCACACATCGAGACTGGACGAATTGGTGAGTCAGGGGTATCTGACATTGGGTATCAACGACCTGTGCCGCCGTGCTCTATATACTTCACAACGTGACTCTCCGTGCCCATGCCGAAGCGCTTTTCTGGCGCCGTAGCTGCGACATTGCCGTATCTCCAGGCTCCATTCTTGACGCCATCGTGGCTGAGGGAATGCCGCCGCAACTTGCATGCCACGTGAGCCAACGTCACCAGTAGCTCGGAGCCGGATTTTGTGCACGAAGCTCGCTCGATTCTGCCATGCTGCCGGTGTATACTTTTTAGCCATCCTGAACGCCATATGCTTCCCACAGCCCTTATGCCAAGCGTCACGTCCCCCGGCCCACGCCTCATCATTACTCTAGCCCAACCTTCACAAATCTCCTCACTTGGTGGGGTACTGGCGCTGAAGCTGGGTCAGCTTCTCGCGGACATCCACGATGCCACCTGCCGCCTCGTAAATTTTGTCACCCATCATCTTGATCGTCTCCAAAAGGTCCAGGACCATGTTGAACGCGGGAACCTGCGTCTGGTCGCGCAGGGCGCGCACCCGCTCGTAGAGGCCGTGCTCGACACCTGGCATGTGCTGCTCCATCTCCTTGATCTTCTGCACCTGGAACTGGTGTAGCTCCTTTAGCCTGTCGGCCTCGTTCGAGAAAAGGGTGAGTACGTCCTCCAGATTGCGGTCCTGATTGCCGTTTGGCGCGTTACTGCCGGTTCCACCGCGGGTGAGCCACGTCTGGTGGTAGTGCGCAGGGAGCTTAAGCTGATCGGCGCCAGCAAATGCCATCTTTGCGATGTCCGCATCCGACTTCACAAGATCCTTCAGGTGTGCCAGGGTGACAATGTCCTCGTCCAGGGTCGTCTTGACGCCCTCGTACTTGCGCTGCAGCCAGGTGACGTCGTTGGTGAGCTGAGCAAGATCGCCGCCATGGGCCGCCATGAAACCCCTGATCTCGGACGCATGGTTCATGAAGCGCTGGATCATGGTGTCGCAGTTCTCCATCTCGGTTTGCAGGGACTGCTCGAGGTCGTTGAAACGGGTCGTGCCCTTGACGTTCGAAAGGTCCACCCTTACACCGGGAACGGTTTGCTGCGTGGTCGACTGACCCATAGTCAGGCCGGGAGCTGTGTTGTTCTGTTGCTGGGTTGAAGCGCCGCCGCCACTTTGAGATATTAGCATGAGCCACGGAGAGATTGATAACATCACTTACAAAAGACCACCAGGCTTGGCTTGGCTAGGGGCAAGACTCGAGCCGAAGAGGCCGCCGCCACCTTGTTGCGGTGTCTGCTGCGCCTGTGTGTTTGTGTTTCCGCCGCCGAAAAGTCCTGATGATTGCTGCTGGGTCGTTGACAGCGACTGGCCAAAGAGACCACCTCCCGCTGGCTTCTGCTGGGCCGCCCCGAACAGTCCTCCGCCCTGTTGAGGCTGCTGCTGGCCCGTCTGCTGCGCCGGTGTCTGGTTTCCAAACAGTCCTCCACCCGTAGTGCCTGTCTGGGCTGTGGTATTCGCCGCCTGACCGAAGAGCCCTCCCGCTTGCTGGGGCTGGGCCTGGGGTGTTGCTGTTGTCGCTCCGCCGAAGAGACCTCCGGCCTGTTGCTGGGGCTGAGAAGCCGTGGTAGATGCACCAAACAGGCCGCCAGTCGCGGGTGTTGATGGCTTGTTGCCAAACAGTCCTCCGCTTGCAGCTCCAGTCTGGGTTCCGCCGAAGAGACCGCCGCTTGTAGCAGGTTGTGTCGTAGCCGCTGCGTTTCCAAAGAGTCCTCCACCAGCTGCGGGAGTCGACGAAGGGCCGGCGCTGTAGCAGAACAGTGTTAGCAAGATATTGAGGTACAATGCAAGGGTAAGACTCGGGTTTGGCAATGCAGTGACCCGAAAGAGGGCAGAACATACGCAGCATTGGCAGCACCAGTGTTGATGCTCAAGCCACCGCCAGTTTTCGCACCGAACAGCGACATGTTGGCGGTCGAGTTCTCTGGTGCAGTAGAGCCAATAGTATTATCGGTTACGATCGAGATGAAAGGCGAGGCCGAGGTCGTGTTCGGGGTGAAAGCCGGGGTAGGGTGAGGCTGATGGCCGTGGACTTGAGTGTTTGTTGCTGCTTCTTGTGCTGGCTGCTGTTGCTGCTGCTGCTGCTGCGCGGTCAACGCGAAAGAAGAATTGGCGGCAGGGACTGGAGGGCACGGGCCACCTGCAGCTTTCTGAGCTGCTGCTGCCTTTGCCAGCGTGGATTGCGACCGCCTGGGATTGGCTATTCGGCGTTCTGAGATGCCGCCTCCGGGGTTCCACACCGAAGCTGCTAGACCGGGGCGCTGATTGGGCAATGCTGACTGCACCTGCTGCTGCTGTTGCTGCTGCTGCTGTTGATGGCCCGTGCCTTCCATCTGGATGTCCTGGGAAGCTGCTGCCGCTGCTGTTGCTCCTGCTGCGAAAGGCGTCGTCGTGAAGCCTCGACCAAAAACACCACCACCACCACCACCACCACTGCTTCCACCACCAGTTCCAAACGTAGAGCCGTTCATCGAAGTCGCGAAAATGGATATCGACGAGGATGATGATTTTTACGCGCCCGAGGAGCCGACTGTTCCTGCGCCTGCGCCTGCGACCGAAAATGCTGCTGCACCCAAGGCGCCGTCGCCAAAAGTAGAGTCCAAAAATGACGAGTTGGAGGAGGGTGAGGAAGAGGATGAGGGCGGAGCCATGGACGAAGACGATGATGAAGACTCCGTAAGCTTCTGCCTGCACCTCAGGTCGCTCTGCGTATTTGTAGGCCGCTCGTGTATAAGCCAGTGACTGACTGTTCTGGCGCTTTCCTCAGGATATCGACATCATCACCGAGCGCAAAGACGGCACAAAGGCTGCGCCCCCAACGTACGTCTCAACCACCACTCACCAGCACAGAGTTAAAGACCTCTTTGAAGCTCATGAAACCACAGACAATCGCGATACAGCGACATCAGAAACATTCCACAAAGGTCTGCCTCCAACGACATGCCCGTCAAGGCCGCCCCAGCGAAGGAAGAGTCGCCAGCTGCCTCCGACCTTCCACTGGGCATCCCCAGTGCCGACAAGGCTGCCGCTGCCGCTTCCAAGTCCACGGTAGACGTCAACGCGAACCCTCCCTACCCTCCTGCGGGCAAGCCCATCACCGCCGTCAACATTGACGAGGGTAAGCACGACTCGCCCTGCGCTTCCCATCGCACCCAGCTAACCTTTACAGACCTCCCCGAAAACGAGAAGCCCTGGCGCAAACCCGGTACGGACATCAGTGATTACTTCAACTACGGCTTCGACGAGTTCACCTGGGCCCTCTACGCCGCCAAGCAAGAGGCTGTCCGCGGAGAGTACAACGCCGACGCTATCGCTGCCGGTAACAAGAAGATGATGGAGGACTTTGGCATGATGATGATGGGCGGCATGAACATGCCCGGTGGAGGAGCTGGCGCCCAGCAGGCCCAGGCAGCTGGTATGGGGGGTATGCCCGGGGGCGGCATGGACGGCATGCCGCCCGAGATGCAGGCCATGATGCAGCAGATGATGGGCCAGGGCATGGACCCCAGCCAGATGGACCCCGCCACCATGTCTGCCATGTTTTCCCAAGGCGCCAACGCCGGCGGCCAAGCGGGCCAGCAACAGAACTTTGGCCAGGGCGGCTTCGGAGGAAACCAGGGCCAGTACGGCGGCTACGACCAGTCAGGCATGGGTGGCAACCGCGGCGGTTTCGGTGGTAGGGGCCGCGGTGGACGTCGCCAGTGGTAAAACATCAAAAAGCTTGCTCTTCATGGGTGCTGGCGGTTGTCCGGCCCGGCTGGCGTTTTCGGGATAATGGTGAGGTCGCAAAATGGTTTGCTTTAGGGTTTCTGGATTGGCCACGGAATTGGCTCAAGCAGGCATAGAGATACCCTGACAATTGATCTGGCATTTCTACCACTGGCAAGCTGTTTTGCTACATCTCAGTGACGTACAGGCGGATTGGGCCGTTTGGTGGGGGCAGATGCTCATTGCTGCTTCCCGTTTTCTGCCCAAACGTTCTCGTTTCGTTTCTCGCGGAAGCTTGCATGGCGGCCCAAACGCGTTTTCCTCACGAGATTTGCTCATTTGCGTTTGCCGTGTTTCCCATCACTGCATTCCCTATCTTCCCTGCCACCTTGTGATCTCCTACCCAAACATCTTTCCATGATGCTGTGCCCAGCGTTGACCATGCCAACGAATGGGTTAAAAAGCCGCCCATCTTTCTCTGTCGTCTCCTTCAAATCAGTCACCTTCATCATGGTATCTTCCACTACCGGAGCTGAGGCATGGGCCTCTCTACCGTATCCCCGGGCCCTCCCCCGCGTCCCAGCATGCAAGTCCTCATAGGCCATGCCGACGAAAGGCTTTAAAGGCCACAAACCGTCCGTAGTCTTCTCGTTCAAATCAATCAATTTCGCCATCGCATCTTCTGCTACCGAGGCGGAGCAATGAGCCTCTTCACCAGATCCCCGGGCCCTCAGCCATGCAGCCTGCAGGTACTCATAGATGATACCCAGGCTATGTTTGGATGAGCAAACGCATCGCTGTGCGGGGCCATTATTCTACTATCATTGTGTCCTTTGGGTGTTGGGTCGAGGACTTTCAGCCATTATGTTGGCATTCCCCAGAGGATACCGAGTGCAATCTTCGTGCCTTGGTCTAGCATGGGTCCTCGTAGTTCTGGCGGGCGCACATTCAACCTCGAACTTCATCGTCTTTGAGACAGACGCCTCTCGCACATTGGCGCCCTGCTCGAGGATCGGATGACCGAGAGACAACTGATCGTCTCTCCAAGCGGAAGAAAAGTCGAACCCAATAGAGTTCATTGACACTGCCGCTCTCTGAAGCAATCTCCCCCGCCATGCCCCTTCGGTGTTGGCCGCAGACTGCCACATCGAGTCAAACAGGCAATAATAGTTGCAAGGCCTCTGACGCTGACTCTGGGAAGGAGCCTCTGTTCCCGACTGAGACGTTGGTGCACACTGGGGGCTGGGTTGAGGGTTTTTGTAGTACAGCCTCACCAACGCCTTGGGAGTTGTCCCCGAAAGCACGCAGCCTATACGCGGAGACAGAAAGATTGAGACCATTCCAAGGAAATGGGCCGTCAGCTACGGAGAGTCGAGGGAGAATGTAGAAGCTAAAGCCGGTCGTCTAGAGCTACACCTGCCCGGGAATGATTACCGGCTGCCGGTAATACTTTGGCTTGATTATTCTCAAACCGAATTGAGTACAGTTCTTCGAGTTCTCTGCCTCCACACAGGGCGGCTTCTACCCCGATCTATCATCATAGGCCCTCCACCCCGAACGGAACCGGGCATGAATTCGTCCCAGAGGCCTATCATCTTTAAGGAGACCCGAGAAAGTGCGACGCCACTTCTTTTGTTCCGCCTCACGATCATGGGACACCACGGGCCCTTGACCTCGGAACGCCCGCCCAGAAATATCATCATATTGGTCGATGAGATCAACACGCCAGACACAGAATCGAGAGTGTCAATATACGCCTCGAATACGTGTAGACTGCCAACAAGAAGCAATTCACTTGTCACTGCTCAAGAAAGCACTCTACGCTATCGTTCGTGGGGAGACGTCGTCACACATGCTCAAGAACGAGGATTCAAATCCTACCGAAGAAGTAAGCGATGCTGCTGAGGGAGCAAACGCTTCGGGCTGTTAGAACTTGGACGTAAGAACCTAGACCGACATCATCGCAGTTCGTCGACATTGCTGCCGCTTTCCGCAGCGAACACTATTACTATAGCATATTGCTACACCACGGGCCCTTGACACGAATACGCTTCATCAGAAGCACGCGTATGTCTTCCCAGCCTAATGGTCTGGAAGGCAGCTGCGACGCAAGCTTTGATACTCCGCCGATATTCGTCATGGAAGGCAGATGGGCCGCCAGCCACGCGACCCTGGGCACGCCAGGTCGATCTCGCTAGAGCGAAAGAGTGCCCTACATCCGTCCTAGGAATGGTAAAAATCAGGACGAATTCGTCTCTTTGAGGGTGGAGGGTGCTGGCACTCCTTCGACGACACCCAACTGCATGGCTAACGTCTGCTGTTCTGGGGCCCATTGGAAACGTGTGGAAAGAACGGCGGAGGCCGCCTACAGCAACGTCTTCTTCAAAATGGTTCTTGCAAGCATGTAGCTTACAAGCGAAGATGCGGAGCACAACCTTCAAGATGAATTACCAGTCCCAGCTGCGAGGAAACGACATCTGGGGGCTAGAGGTACGCGGCGGACAAGCCAACGGACTCAGCCAGCGAGGTGATAGATCACCGCCTGCTGCCGGGGCTTTGTTTAGAACAACACCGGTGTTCCAGGATCTGTTACAGTTGCCCGCCTTCTATCTCGTCTTTATCTTATTTACGAAGAGCTGACCTACAAATCCTTGCGCATGTCACACGTCAAATTCAGAAAAGATCACTTTCTTTTCCCAGAAACAGCACAAACAACTTCAGAATAAAACATCAGACTCGCGAGAGCTTTTGTAGAACCGTCTTCCAGATGGCTCGCATGGTGTCCTACACAATGAAGCGGGATTAAGCGGATTACCGCGATGCACACATCCCCCAGACCCAGCTTCGCTCTACGTTGCGATCTAAAGCTCAGCCTTTTGCGCCCCGAGTAAATTACGCATCTACGGCAATTTGCCAGATGAGGTGCTCAGGGTCTTTGTCTCACGTCTGGCAGCCGTGGTAAGAACATTGGAAGAGTAGGCCTCAAATACCGGCCCGTTGGGAGCCAACCATAGTGTCGGTGAAGCCAACCTAGGTGCATGACGTCCCAGATTAGCCTCGTTAGAGGGCACAATTGGGTGGCAGTTGCCCAAGCTCCAGCATGATTCTCGAGTCCACAACTACCCGCAAGCTTAAGGGGGAGAATGCCAATAAGCTCTTGCTTGCAGAGGTTATGGAAGAAGGCTAGCCTCACTGTATCACAGCCCCATCCTGGGAAGGTTACCAGGAGCCATATAAGATCCGTAGCTCCGACCCGATTTCCCTACCTTGGCGCAACCTTCAAAAGTAAGGTCGGACCAAGACATCAGACTCATGAGAGCTTTTCTTGAACCATATTCGAGATGGCTCGCTGGTGTTCCACACGGTGAAGCGGGGTAAAACAAATGTCCGCATAGGGCTCGTCTCGCGGCTTCATCTGAGATGCGACCTCAAAATGGACTCTTGCGTCGCGTACATATACGACGTGTCTACAGCAACCTTCTGGAGACTGTCAACAGAACCTCCATCTCATGCCTGGACCAAGATCCCTCCATTCTTGGATATCATCTGGACAGCTGGCGTGAAGACCAACAGCTTTTATTCGAGCAACGCCGCCATCTTCGATTCAGTCTAAGAACGGAGAAAA